GCGCGCACGCGCAAGAAAGACCACAAAAGTAGAACACAAGGTTACACGTCATGACCTGCAGCCCCACTGAAAAGCAACACGAACTCCAGAGCAGAATGCAAAACATAACAGAGCAGGCGCAGAAACCAAAAGGAAACACCTTGCACAGGACCAAGACCTGCAAGAACACGAGAAAGGACGACAACACCAGGCACAATCGAAATGAACCGAAAATGCACAACCCAACCCCAAAAGCAAGAAACACGCAAAACGAAAATGCAAAAAAACACAACCACAACCCGAATGCAAAAACAATGCAAAACCGGGACGCATCAAAAACGCGCCCAAAATCCGAAAGCAAATTAAATGCAAACCCAGGACGCAACAAAAACACAAAGCCAAATGCACAATAAATGGTTCAGCTGGCCCATAGCCTGTGACCGAACAAATCTTATAATGCTGGCACTAGTCCTGCATGGCTGCGATCTGCACGACGACGTCAAAAAGGACAGCAAGGATTTGCTATCGAAGACTAGAGACTAGGGTGCCGATGATCATGATGATGATATATGATTATGATCATTATCATCATGATGGTAATGATGTTCATGATGGTGGTGATGATGTTGGTGACCATGATCATGATGATGATGAGGATGATGATGATTATGGTGTGGATAGGAGGGGGAGGGTCATGACGATGTAGGGAAGGAAGAGGCGCACATTGCGGCTCTGTAACACCCTTCAGTCTCTCTTCACCAGAGGAACCGTCTGGGGACTGAAGTTACTGACGCCTTGCTCCCGCAACTGGTGCAGCCATTGCAGACTGTACGCACTTCCGTCAAAGTCACGCCTTGTCGCGAGGCGCCCGCTGACGCTGCGGCTCAGGCTGACAAGTCGCAGGCCAGCCGTTGACAATAATCTGCGTGTGACGACGCTGAGCTATCCCTGCAACACTCTCTGTTTGCATGTGTGAGGTCAACCTCGTCTGGGACGGCGAGAAAGGCCCCTGAGCTTGCAGTAATTATTTGTCTGTGATGCGGCTGGCAGCGACAGGCTATTCCAACGAGCACTCGGCAACTCTGGCCACACCCAACACATGCTTCAGGGGCAGGACCACACGTTCAGCCCCTCCCGTTGATTTGTCTGAGATGAACAGCTGACTGCTGCGCCCACCCATCGAGGTTGCATCATGTTTCCTAGTATGTTGACTACCCGTCGAAAGAAGTGAGAAAGCGAAGCGTCCAAGAGCAAGGCCAGCTGGTTCCTGCTCCAGCCGCTGGGACAGGACGACGTGCACAACCCACATTCTGCACAACATACAATGACTTACAATGCAGTTCTTGGAACTTGAAGCTTTCAACATCTCAAGTGCTTTTGGATTGAAGCCTCGGGTTACAAGTTCCTCCGTTTGTGGGAATTGATGAGAGGTTGGGAGTGCTGCAGACACTATAAAGTCTCCCTTGCTCAAAGTTCCGCCGAACAGATCTTGCTAGGAGTGCCAGCAACGACAGCAAAAGCCTCTGACAGCCCAGAGGCATTGGAGTTGAGTTGGACTTTCGAGTTTTTCCTGTCGAGCTCGGCTCGGACTCGGGGAGGTCAATGTGTTTCGACCCTTGCGTTACGCTTTCCGCAAAGATCAGTCCCTAAGCCCCCAGGTACCTACTATATAGGGTACTAGAGCCCCTGGGGCCCTATATAGTAGGTACTTGGGGGGCTAGGGTGTGTTCGATGTGTGAGATCGTGCCCAATTAGTGGGCGGGGGGTACTAGATTGCTCCCGCGGTGGGCTGCTGCATGTTTTCTGGCTAGCGCCCATGGAGGCCAGATGCAAGAAAACAGTGATATCCACAAGCACACCAGTAATTGGGCTACTAGTGCACGCTTGGCCAAAGGCGACGAATTGCATGCTTTGGGCCCTTCTGATCGCTTGGCGCTGCAGTGCCCTTCAGTTTCGTGTGCAGTAGCTATGTAGTACGAATTAGACATATGGCATGGGGGCTGTAACTAGGAAGGCCCACAGCTATTATTCTCAAACTCAAGCTGTAATCAAGGGGGGGGCGGCTTGCAGCCGACATCTGCGAAATACATGCGAGTGTACTTGCATGCTCCCGTAACCCTTCCTTGAGGCATCCAGATGAATATGTTTGTACGTACTTACCAGCTTGCTTAATTGCTTGTTTATTTACTAGTAGTTTTCGATGTCTACGAAGCACCAACTATGATCATGATGGGTCTATAATCTCTAAACCCTGAAACCCTATTATTTTTTTGCTAGGTAGAGGCCAAAAAAACCTACAATGTCTTTACGGACAAGTGCTGGGCAGGCCGCACACGCAACTGCCGAGTCGGCGGCCGAGGCACATCGGAACTGTGGTTTTTGTTCTGGTAGTACGTCATACTACATGAAAAAGTGTATCCTAGTATAGTTTATTACACTAGAATGGAAGGATAGTATAGCGTTCTATAGCATATTACAGTATGTTGTATGAACCCGTAGTAAACTAAACTTTCGCATAGTGTCTCGTACGGCATATGCATAATTACACACGTATTGAACGTCGTCCCGGCCGTGGCAGTGGGTCTCGTGGCCCCTCAAGCAAAGGGCTCTCGAATTATAAGCAGCAGTTCGTCCTGAGTCTGCAAAAAACAACCCTAAACCCTAAACCCTATATCTGCAATCTAAGCCTGGGTTGGGTCAGTGGTTCGGCAGAAGCATTGCAATTTTCCAAAGATGATCGCTGCATGGTGGACGCTGCTGGCTTGCGCCGGCATACAAGCAGCATGTGCGTGCGGGCCTTACTGTGGAGTACCTGGTGGTAGCCGGAGGCGGAGGTGGGGGCTCGGGGGGCGGAGGCGCTGGCGGTGTCTTGCAAAACTCAACGGAAATCCTTCCCGGCTCGGTGTGGGACGTGGTGGTGGGAGCCGGTGGAATCGGAGGCCACGGAGGCTCTTGGTGCCGCCGAACCCGGCCCGGTCCACAAGCGGAGGGAATTCCATTTTGGGACCGATTGTTTCCTTTGGTGGTGGATTTGGTGCTTCAGTCACTTGAGTCCCAGGTGATGGTGGCTCCGGTGGAGGCGGTGGCTTTGACCGTCCGAACATCTCTCCAGGCCAAGGCACGCCTGGGCAAGGCAACGATGGCGGCGTTTCTGACAGGGGCGGCTTCGGGGCAGGCGGCGGTGGAGGGGGAGCTGGGCAAGCTGGATCCAATGCTCCTGCGAGACACTTGGGCGGAAATGGAGGAGATGGTGTAGAGTCCAATATCACTGGAACGGTGCAGTGGTTCGGTGGGTGGGGGAGGGGGCGGAGGTGTCAACCAGAACAATGGCCAAGTGGTCCCGAATGGTGGAGGTACTGGGGGCCTGGGAGGGGGAGGAAGTGGAAGCAGCTTCGGCCTTCCACAAAACGTGCCTCAAGAAGGATGTTTCAATGGCCAATCTGGACTGAATAACACAGGCGGTGGAGGTGGCGGCACGGATCCCGAATGCACCGTTGCAGGGGATGGTGGCTCTGGCCTTGTCGTTCTGCGATACCGGAGCCCCGAGCCCATCTTGATCGGAGGCAGTGTGACATCTCTCGACGGATATATACTCCACTCTTTCATCGAGGTGGGTGCAAGCAGCCTTGCATATCCAACGACCACCACCACAACCACCGTCACGACCAATACTACAACCACAGCTGCGCCCACGACCACCACCACAAGCCCAATCAACACTTCCACGGCACCTGACCTCACTTGCGCAGAGTTCCAATGCCCGGCACAATCCAGGGAGAGACCCTATCCAGCGGAAAGGCAGTGTAAGCCCGAGGGCTGTGATGTTCGCACTTGCTGCAGACGCAAAAGGTTCTTGCGGCGTCGTCGGAGGAACAGGAACCCGTACCATTACAACTCTGACTACGGATCTGCCGTGGAGATCGAGGACGATGAGGACGACTTCGATGACATGGAGGAGGCTGCATTCTTGCAAGATCCGTTGTGTGAAGAGGACGATGACACATGTGAGGACGAGCTTTTGGAGTTTGAGGATCACGATGCGGAGCTGTAGCGAAGCATCTGAAGTTCTTGAGAATTGCTGCAAGAGGCGTGTCTCAGAACAACAACCTCCAAAAGTTTGGGCGTCATGCGATAACCTATAAAGCCCGTGCATGCCGTGCCAGCGCGAGAATACCGTGTTTGCCTGTACAGTGGTTCGGTTCTGCTATCTGGTCCAGGTTGTCGAGACGCTTTTGAAACAGCTCAGTGAAAGGTCAACGTGTTGCTGTGTCAGTAGCCGGCTAGCAGATTTTGGATTTTGCATTGTTGTATGGTTCGCGCTCTCCGTGTTTAACTACTGACTCCGTGATGTGTTGGCCTTACAAGCCCGTGGTGGAGACCGGAGTAATGTCTGCGGTAGTAGAGCTTGGAATTGCCGTGGAGCAATGTCTCCTGGAAGATGCCGGAGGGCTGTATATATAGAGTTTCGGCTAACGCAGCAGCGCAAGCCGCAACAGATAAACTTTTCTTGCACACAACTTGCACATCAGGGATTAAGGACCCGGTGAAGACATAGACTTAAGAGTGCTTTTCCTTGTTGGAGATGCTGAGAGAGCATGTCAGAATTATTTTAGTGAGATGGGCTTGCTTGGCCAGCCCGTGCAGACATGCAGACCCAACAAAGACTCGACCAGCAAGCGTCGCGAAAACGATGGAAGGTGCCGAGATCCGAATGCTCATGAATTATCACTCCGTTATTTCACTCGGAAATCATTTTTTGCTCGACTTTACTTGCACGTCGTGGCCTCAGGATCACATTTCACAATCACTCTTGTTTCACTCTGGAATCGGTAAGTGGTGTGTCGTTCACTCTTCACAATCACTGTTATTTCACTCCGGAATCAGCAAATAATTCTTTTATGATTCTCAATGCCTGCCTGCCAGCGGCACTCTTAAAGATAGACCCTTCCAGCATCCCATAGGCTCAGGGCGATCCAGCCCAGCCGGCACCGGTGGAGGACGACGATGGTGAGGGTCCCTCGGCTCAATCTCAGCATGAACAACAGCCACCACCATCGCCACCTGCGCCAACACCAGAACAGCAACAACCGCAAGAATTAGCACCCTGGACGAGAGCGACGCTTTCTGCCAGGCATCTGGGCACTACCATGACCCTGCTGCAAAGAATCTAACTTGGAAGACTTAGCCCCGAGGAGAGGAGGAAGAAGAAGCTGCTGGTGATCAGGAGGTGGATGTGGAGGCGGGTGGTTTTGTCATAAGCCGAGGCTGTCTTTTTGACTTCTATCTGCATCACGAGCGATATGACCGCGCACAAAACTCTTCCCCACGCTGTGCCGTACCATCCTCGGCCCTTAGACCTTGAACCCCCTAAGCCTTGGGTTTTGAACGAATGATGAAACTCTGGGCTCGTTTGGTTGTTCAGGCTAGATCCCAATGCCCCAATCCCTGTGCTGGTGTGAAACATCGTCGGCTGTGGACCTCCTCTAGTGAGGCATGGTCTGCGTTCCTGAAACTGGAGCATGACCGCCTTGCAGAGATGTGAATGACTAATGGCCGTAACGGAGACACCCACCTGGTAGACGGCTTAAATCCATGTACTGGCACGTGCGGCGCAACCTTTTCATGTTCGACGGGTGCAGAGGAGGGCTCAGGACGTGATCTGGCTACAGGCTCTCGATGAAGCAACATACGGCAACTTGACAGCTGCCGATCTGCAGCCGTAGGCTTCGTGAGTCCTGTCCCCCAACTGGCATCCGAACGTGAGGTGCCATCTGCAAAGGAGTTCGTCCAGCAAGGGCCCTTCAAAGTATGACCTATCGTATCCTAGTACGTAAAAGAGCCACTCCATTTTTATGCCTGAGCATTCCTCAGCGCTGAACTAGCTATGCTTTCTTCTGCCGTGATGTTTGTGTTCTAAAGGGCCCGCCACATTCCAAGCCATGACACCCTTCAAATCTAAAGGCAGAGAGCCGCGCAGCTTTCCTCTCGGAGGCGGATGATTTTAGGCACTTGGCTCCGGCTGCGAAAGGTCCGTCGAGAGCTTGTTGCAGTACAGGGCTGTACAACATGTCTTGCGGGGTTCAGAATAACTGAATATAACTACCTTCTTGGTGGGTTCGAGTTGATTGGTGCCAGTTTACTTTTGGCTCTGGCTGAGGGCTTAAAGAGGCATGCAGATGTGGATGCTCGTCAAAGAGGTCTTCTAAGATATCGTGCGGACCACAGGATGCAACAAGCAATCCAAGTGCTTGGCGCGTGTGGCTTCAACCGCTGACTTGAGAGGAGCCTGGTTTTGTGAAGTTTGGCGGATGTTGCGTTCTCGCCGGATGGTTTGGGGCAAAGCAGTAAGTTGCGCCTATCTGCTAATCCCTTAAATCGCGGTTTCTTCAACATGTGCCCTTGCGTAGAGAACTGAAGCCTCTACATCTCCGCGACCGATGTAATAGAGTGGTTGAGCCGGTTGGCCAGCTCACCGTGCCTGGTGCCTAGTACTCACCCGGTGAAACTTGCAATGCGCAGGGGTGCAGGGACGGCTCAGAAGCTCTCCTGCGTTCTCATCCCGAATTTCGACGCAGATTCTTTGAGCCCGTGGACGCAGGCCTCCACCCCGGAGCTGATCAAGCAGGCAGTAGCTGCCCGGAGCTGAGGGACCGAATCGTGCCAGGGATTCCCGTGATGGAGGCCCCAGGACTTTGGAAACTGTCGTTTTGGCCCTTTGAGCTGGGAGTCCGCAAATGGCGACGAAAGCACCTGTAACTTCTTGTCGCTGTGGTGCAGAATGTCCAATGACCCCAAACATCAAGTTGGAAGACAAGCCATTGCTGCAAACTCTGTCCATCGAATGTGAGAGGCGCTCGATCGCTGCTAGAATACGGAGACCGAAGCCGAAAAAACGACTTGCTTTTCGGGAAGTATACTTGGTCTGGAGTCAGCAGGATCATGATACTTATAAGCCTCACTTATTACGTTCGGCCCGTCTCCGCCTTTAAATTCCCGGACGCTGACCCCGAGTGCCCTTTGAGGTCGGCGGGCCCCTGGCCGACGCCACCATGGACAAATGGGACCCTCGGTTCGAAGCGGGTTTACAGCGGGGTTTTATGGGATTGTTCATGGGTTTCTGGGTTAGTTCTGTGCGCTTCTGCCGTGTATTTCGTTCGGGGAGAGCCTCAAGCAAGGATGTGGATGATGATGGTAGTAGGTTGTGCTCGAAGTATAGCCGTGGCCATGGGACTATAGAACTGAGAGCAACTCCTGACAGCTCCCTGTTTGAGCATCACTATTCTGCGCAACTTGTAACGTCGATGATCTCCTGGACTAGCTTGCCCCTATAGGTCGTACGGAGCCGCAGTCGCTATGTTTCGCGGTTTGCGATCTAACAAGATTTGCAGGTTCAAGACCAGAGGTCTGAAAGTTCACAGGTGACTTAACTGAGACCCTTTCGGGCGACACTGATTCATCGGTCTAGGGCGAGCTACTCGTCCTACTGGACAGTACTCGTCCTACTGTAGAGCAGGCTTCGGCATTCATGGGTTGTTTGTCGGGGTGTTGGGGTGCATGAATGTTTCGGTTCTGGCTTCCTTGACATGGCTCAGGCTGCGCATTCATGAAGTGTCGTTTCATGTTTTGTTCGAGTTTTGGCGCGAGAGTACCCATGACCCATGACTGTAGACAGCCGGGCGCCTTCCTCTTTCCTTCCGTCTTGCAAGCTGTGCACTTGCAGTGCCGAAGGTTCTGGACCAGGCGACCAAGTTGTACTTCAAGTACGACACGCCAACCCAGAAGACCCTTGGCCGCTGTCGCTGGCCACGAGGTTGAGCCTGGAGTCGTTTCGAGGGCAGGGGGAAGTTGCAATGGAGACCGTTGACTAACTCGTCGACCCGTATAGCTGACAGGTCTGACTGTGATCATAGTTCTCAGCCATGCGAGAGGGAAAAAACATGTCTGACTTACACGATCGTTTGGAGTTGTTTGCCGTTTCCCTCCAAGTTTCAAGCCTGAAGCTTGCTTGCATCCGGCGCGTCGCCTTGATCGGAAGCACAGAGGCTTGTGCGAGTAGTTCTGAGACATGCTCAAGAGGGACCCTCGTTCAGAACAGCACCTGCGCGAGGAAGTCTCTGCTGCTTTGTGGTACGGTTGTGAGCCCCTTCCCCCACCCTAACGTGCCTTAATTAGCCCCGAATGTTCGCACAGCCGAGGATGTACTGCTGGAACTCCTCTCAAGGCACAGACAGGGAAGTTGTTGCCATGGCAGGAAGGCTCCTTTTGAGAGGTTCTCAGCTTCGCGACAGATCGAGAGAATTGCGCTGCAGCCTGATCTTCTTCCTCTCGGCAGTTTTCTTCCTTCCCCGGCAGGCTGCATGTACCACTGGAAGGACGGCCTTCCTGAGATCGGGGCAGTCCTTCAACACTGCAATCACTGCAAGCAAGCCCTACCCATACTCAGACCGTGTCCCTTGCCCGGAAGATGCTGAAGCCCCCAAACCCCATGGAGCCGCTGGAGATGCTGCGCGAAACATCGAAAACCATAATATGAAACATTGGGTATTCACAGTACATGATGATAGATAGATGTACATGATCTCACCAAAGAGCACTGAGTATACTCAGCCTCTACCCAAGCCGGGCCGAGCCGTGTCGAGACAAGCCCGAAGGTCTCCAAATCCCACAGTCTGGTTGAACCCTAATCCCTTAACCCCAAACCCTAAACCCACAGTCTGAGGTGCCAAAGCTTCGCCAAACAAAAAGCAGGGCAAGCGGTTGGTTGCACAAAAACATATAACTATATAACTACATAGCTATATATATATATATACATATACATACTCATGTGCGTTTGGGAGAAGTGTGTGTATGTGTGTATATATATATATTTATTTATTTATTTATTTATATTTGCACACTTTTTAGGCATAGTCTGTTTGTCTGTCTGTTTGTCTGTCTGTCTGTACTGTGTGTGCTCCCACCCAACCCCAGAGGAGCGTGGGAAGATGACCTTCCTCTGGGCCTCGCCGGGCTCAGTTGGCGCTCCACCGCCAGCCAAGGTCCAGGCCTGATGTCGGCCACATTATACAGTTATATAGCTATACAGCCATATATATATATATATACATATGTACATATATATATATATGTCTATACATATACAGATAGGTATAGATATTTATCTAGTCAGAGATACAGATAACATTTGTTAGGGTAGTTCTGTGATGCATGATCGATTCTATGTCATGAAATATGCCCATTAACGCAGCCGTGAACCGTATACCTTAAACTGCCATATCCTTGTTGATTGCAGCGCCCCTCTAAATTTCCTTGCTCGCGGAGGAGCAAACCAACCCCTGAACCCTACAGCCCGAGTGTGAGCGCCGAAAGCCTATTCCATTCGTGGAGCTTACCCTCTAGGCAGCTCCTACCGTGGACCCCGGCGCAAAGACCACCGAAGCTGTGGAAGCTGCAAAAACTCCGGCGCCGGAGATCTGCGGCCTGTCGTGGGGTGGAAGGGACATGCTCAGTTGGGTGTCGTATATAAGTATGTACATGTAGGTACATAACGTGTTTTCGCATCTATACATTTTTGTTCGCATGCTGCTGTCGTTCTCTTTGCCGGCCTTCCTCCCTAAATCTCGCAACGGTTGGGTGTATGTGCTATTCTTATTCTTTGTCGAATTTTCAGTGTCGGTAGTAGTGGTGAGTGCAGGTAGTGCTGGCCAGTAGCTGGTGACATGTGGTGCGAGCGTTCCAGTGCAGCAAGCTCGGAGGCATCGTCGAGTTGCTCGTCTGCTGTTGTAGAACCTGCGCATCACACCAGAATTTGAGTCCAGACAAGACTTTGGTCTGATGTCCGTCGCCGGAACGGAGGTTTGGTTTTGCATCCAGCCCTCCCTGAGGGGCTGTACCCGGCCCGAGCAACGAAGCCAATGCTGTCTGGGATGATGCTTGTTTACTTTGTTGGATGAATGCTTGTGTCTCTTTATGTGTCACCGAACGTATGTTGCCATCTTGTGTATTGGTCCATGAGTATACCAAGCCTATGCGTGCACGCATGCAAATGGATAGGTGGAAGGATGGACGGACACGAGGACCGAGGGATGGAGGATGCTGCATGGGAGAGGTGAATGGGTATTGGTCCTATAGTAGGACGGACTGACGGACAGACGTCGGAATCAAATCGGCGGCAGCTACATGCAGTTGCATGAGCAAGTTTGCCGACGCAGCCATAGACGTCCTAGCTGCCCTGGCTTCGTCGGATGTTTTCCGCTGTAGGAAAGTGGTGTTTCTGGGACGAAGGAGTGTTGTTGTTCAGATGCGGTCGTGCATGTTGAGCCACGGATGCCACTAATGGCAACATCAGTCGTGCGCGCGCATTGACCAGGCTCTAGCGCTTAAAGCCCTGAATGCTGTAGTCTGCAGCAAAGGTGACAGCGCCTCCCTCTGGGTGACAGTCATTCCACCCTCGGTTCTGGCATCTGCGACCCGGCCGGTAATTGTCAGCAGAACCCTGCGGATTAGATCAGTTTCCTTTCATGGAGTCCACTCCAGTGGCGAGGCTCATGATAGGAGCCTCGATTAAGCAGTTGATCAGGGGTTGACCTGTGCGGCTTTAGCCGTTTTTCTGGTCACTTTCGACCGTGTCGCTGCCAATCGCCCAGGATTTCGAAGATGCAGATGCCGAGGCGAGGCGACTGGCTGAAGATGTGGTTGATCGATCCTTCTAACACCTTACAAAACCTCGGCGTACATGAACATCTCAGGCACCGCTTCACTGAGCCATGTTGTCCAGAAGGTTGAAGAGTTTTTGGGCCAAGCCGCACTGTAGCCGCGCGCGCGCGTGGGGATTAAACTCAGCAGCCCCCACTCCTGAAGTCGGCAAGACTGAAAGCAGCAGACGTCGTCCGTGGCATTGTGTCAACAAATCCAGATATCAGCCTTGAGTTTATTTCCAGTGCGAGTATCTGTGCTATCTATATGAGCCCGCCTCCTTACCTCGAAGAAAGACAGCAAGTGGTAAGTCAGACTGTGCCAGAGGCTTTGGGGCTAGGAGGACTTGTCGGAACCAGCCACAAGCGATATACGTTACAAGTCATGCACACTACATAAAACTCTCATGTGGGTGTACATTGCGAAGTTACACCGTGCAGCCGTCGCAGAAATAGGGTTTGTGTGATTTAAACTGATTGCGACCAGGGCTCGCAGGGATGGCACAGCAGAGGCACAGCAGACATCCCTCAGCCCTTGAACGTTGACCTTTAAAGCCTTACTCATAGGCTTCATTGTAGTTCTTTTTGGGATTACCTTATAGGATCCTAAAAAGGAGGCTACAATGGAGCCTATGGGTAAAAGCAAACCCCTAAGCCTTCAATGTTGGTTTCGGCATCGTCTGACCTTGCGTCCTCAGCTGGGGCCTTTCATCGTAGCCCTTATACTGTAAGAACCGTCACAGAACCCTAGCAACCCTATAGTCACTATAGTAGCCTTTCTCCAGCTGATGCAGGATTTGAGCCTGGGTTCAAAAGAACCCTTACAGAATTTTCCACGAAAGGCCGAGGAAGAGCTGGAGCTGAATGCCAAGGCCATGGGCGCCGTCATCGGCAAAGGTGGCAAGGGCATCAAGGAGGTCGAGCAGGCTACAGGTGGGCCCGATGTATGCAGGGTTCAGGGCTTCGGGATTTGGGGTTTGGGCATGTTTTGGAGCTTTGACAGGGTGGTAAGGACAAAAGGCTGTGGTGTGTGAAGACGTAGACTTAGTATAGGTTGGACGAGGTTGAGGGCTGGCAGATGCAGACAGCTTGAGGCTGCCGAAGCTTGATGCACCAAGCTCGAGATCCAGCTTAGCAAATGCTACCAGTAGCAGGGGTGGCAGATGTTGTTTGTGTTTGCTGGAGTCTATGGCTGCCTGTTCGGGAAACACCGAAAGCTTGCCAGGCGTCAAGTCAACATCCCTCGATGCCAAGTGCTACCCTCAGAGTGCAGATTGCATTGCTGAAGCCTGCGTGACAACGTCATGTCTAATCTGTCCTTCCTGCACAGCTCTATGGCCGATCAGAAAAGGTCATCTGAGGGTGCGCAGCTGCGCCGGCTTGTGCTTCGGGGCACCCGGGCGCAAATCGCGCAGGCGCATGATTTGTTTGGTGAGGTCCCAACCTTCGGAAAGAAATTATGTGCCACAGAATCTATTAGACTAATTAGAGTAGATGATATACCATTGTCCGAGGACCGATGCTTCCCCAGACAACCCCGGATACGAGCCTTTGGTTTGTTGGTGTATGTCTGAGCCACGTCCCATGGGAAGGCGAAGTCTGCGGTCGAGCAGCGAATCGTGATGGTGTGGCTTGCAGGAAACGAAGGGGGGATCGGTCCGGTAAGGAGCTATATAGTTATCTATACATATTTATATATATACAGCTGATTATCGAGTCTGCATCGAGAGGTTCGGAGCGTGCACCCGTGGAATGTGGGAGAGTTTCCCCTTCAGGAATACTTGCGGCATTTGCCCGTTGACATTCGTTTCAGGGGCTACTGAAGCGGCAGCTAGCTTCTCTGATTTGCCTGCCCTGCGTCGCTTCATCCCAGAATGCTGATTTGTGGATATCATTGACTTTCCTGTTCGTGTGGTGACATGTCTTCGGCTGTCAGCTTTGCATTGCTCGGAGAGTTCTCCTTCTCAGCCAAGGCTAGGAGCCAAGGCGGCCGAAAAGGCAGAGAGCCTGGAGAAGGGGGTTCTTCGGTGGGGTGTTTCGATGTTTAGCAGTGGCGAACATCCGTGAACCGCGAGGGTTGCGCCATGGGTCAGACTCTTAGACGAAGCTCGGTTGACACATGTCTTGTTCCCAGTGTTTCAGAGTCTCAGCAAGACGGGAGTGCCCAGACCGAGCAGGCCAGCTGCCCTCATCTTGGTAGTCTCTGTTTGCCTCGGCGTGTTCTTTGATTCTCGTCTTGTGAGGTTTAGGGCTTAAAGAATATCTAGAGCCCTTACAGTAACTCCTGTGTCGCTGACGGCAGGTGCAAAAGCACTGGAGCTCTCAGCTTCTCGAAAAGAAGCGCACAGAAACGGGATCGGAGCCTTGGTGCCCCTGAGGCCTTGAGCATGGGAAGATGTTCGAAGACGCGAGTTTCACCTGCATATCGCCACATCAAACATCGTGAAAGCGCCAAGGAAGCTGCTAAAAGCGGCGTCCGCGGTCTCAGCGAGTTCGTGCTGCCTGGCTTAAGAGTGAGTCAACGGTGCGAAGCCTGGGACGACTCGCGACGTCCCGTGTTCAGGATCACATTGTAAGAGCCTAGCCATGCGACTCGATCCAAACAGGATACCTTATCAAAGTCCGTTGGAGACTCAGAGTGGTGCCCTGAGTGCACGGAAGGCTGCATCATGGTCTCAAGGCCGTGATGGCGAGGCTTGTGTGAGTCCGGAGTAGCCTTTTGTTGGATGTCAGACGCTGCAAATTCAGATGCCCCCGGAGCCTCGAGATGTCCAAAACACGGCCAAGAGTAATGGACACCTAAGTTTCAAAAGACCCGTTGACGGACGCTTGTGCACCCGCCTGAAGCGTGTAGCGCTGATAGAGTTCATGGGAGGCGACTGGCGAAGTTGGACGCAATGCTGCAGCGTGCCATGGCAGCAGCGACTATGGCAATAGATGCAACATCAAAGGGCCTGCGATCTACGCTGGTTAGTAAGGTCATGGCCCGAATCCCAAGGTTGACTGAGTTCATGACCCACCTACCTCCACACCTACAGTACCTGCACAACGGCTTGGTGCCCGGGCCCAACACAAGCTACGCTCGAAGGTTACACCATCCGGCACTTCAAGCCCATGCCCCTCGACTCAGGGACTGCTGTTCAAGGTTTAGGGGCTGCCTGTCGCAGACGTGACATGCTGGCCCTGCGTTTTTTCTGGAAAATCCACCTCGAAGCTGGGTAGGAAGCATTCCCTTTCCATTGCATTGTCGGACCTGCAAATCAGCATCCGTTCCGATCAAAGACTCATGACATTTAATTTTTGCAGATGAACCCTGACAACGAGGAAAGCCAAGCCGGCCAATGCGCTGCGAGGAGCCCTGCTTCTTCAGGGAGGAGTGTGTGTGTGTGTGTCATAGAGTTGGAACCCATCCGAAGATCTGGGCAAGCAAAATAAAGCGACTTCGAAAGCTCGTCGCTTTAAAACGTGCACGTGCGCACATCTATGACGGCCCAACAGCGACAGTGCAATACAGCGGGTCTTCGACAAGGTAGAACGAGCAGCCCAAAGCCCAAGCCGACCGAAGCTTGGCAACCAGGCGGTGTCCCGGGATTTGCAGACTCCCCTCTCACGCCCCCTCTCGACACCCAACTGTCAACAACCTTTGCAAAGCTGAAGCCTTGAAACCGCCTTGAACAGTCCTCAGTGAAACCTACTGTGAGTTCTCTTGTTTCAATATCTGACCTGTATCGCTACAGACCTTGCCAGGGTTTGGCCGAGTGTGAGTGTCAAAAAAAACGCCTTTAAGCCCTTCATTTTTGTGAAGCTCTTCGCCCGGCAAGCTCCCCACCCACGGATGCCGTAGCTTTGCCATCCTTGTGTTATACTTGTACGTACAGTAGCACCAGGAACTGTTCTTCCTGCTGATCTCATTTTGACAAGGAAGGCTGAGCTGCTTACTGTAGCCCTTGGTTCTTGAACCCTAAACCCTCAACCCTAAACCCTATAAGCTACGATGAACTCGTCGTAACGACTCGTCGTAGTGATCCGATCAGGATACCTGGCCTCGATGTTCAAGTTCCCACAGCGCTGGCGCCTCGAGGCGCTCTACGAAGATGGTGACTGGACGGGCAGAAAAACAGGGTCCTGTGTCCTGTGCTTTCTCTTTCCCTTGCATTTCAAGCTACTGTAGAGTATAATATATATATATATATATATATATGTATATATATATATATATATATATTTTTATTTATTTATTTATAGAGCACGTGACCGCTGAATCGAGGTGAGCTCGATGGCGAGATCTGTGAGACAGTTCCGCTCCGTACTTTGTCAAGCAGAGAGAGGGTTGAGTCGTTGCTGGTGAAGTGCGCTTTGCTAGTCTTTGCTACTTGTATTCTCTTCACTGAAGTCTTACTAGAGACGAACGTTGTAACAGGGTGATGATTGAAGCTTCATCGCTCTGGTACACAAAGATCAAGACAACAACGCATTGAAACACCATGTATGTATCATATATGATTGTCATCCACCTTTACAAACGAGGACCTCTGAAAGCTGCAATGTGCAGACTATTTGCCAGCGGCTTTATAGCCAGATCTGTTCCGTGCTCAAACAGTTGAGTGCTTCACCCCATGTCCATCTCAAACTTGGCATCCCCAAACGCAAGCTCTAAAGACTTCGTGCCCTCGGCCTTGAAACGGTGAGGCACTAGCGCTGTGGTTGGCCGACAGCGGCTGGCTGCGCAAGAGGATGCCGAGGCGCTCCGTTGTCTAGTCACGACCCTGCAAGCTGATATGACAAACGAAGCCACCGAAGCATTGCGAGCCATAAGAGTAACACAACAGGCATGACGATGATGCTAATCATGCCCTCTCGGCCTTGCATAGCTGAAAGGGGCTCAATTTGGGGGGCTTCGAGGTAGTACGGGGGCTGAGCTTATTGGGATATGAAGGCTGGACGGCGGCTGGAAAGGGCTTCAGACGTTTTGTTTTGCATTCCCGTTCCCGGGTTTCAGACCTCCGTGTCTTAGGCTTGCAGAAGCGAATGTGTTGATTGTGGGGCGCAGAGTTCATACTGCCAGGTTGGTGCAAAAACGCAGGAGTTAAAGAACTAGAGTCAACTGCTGCCTAATGTTCAATCCTAGAATACATCTCTTAAGCAGGGAAACTACGTTTCTGACAGACTGCTTAGTAATAGGGTCTTTCTCACATTCGCCTCTTGGCTGCAACAGCTATCCCCGTGTTGGGGATCAGTGCATCTGCCCTCCTTCACTGTGCACGTTTTTGGATAGCTCTTTCCGGCGGCTTGACGCACATTCCCTGCACATCGCTACGTGAAGCTGACACCTGAAGGATGGTATTATAGTTTCATGTCAACTCCGCAGGAAACTCATGAATCCTTTTCCTGGCCCTGAACCTCTGAGCCCTGGGTGATAAGCCAATCAGACAGTCATGAGCTGGACTGGCCGAGTGTGAGCGCCGAAGCCCTTTTCATTTGTAGCCTCTACCGACACGAGAATTTGCACGAACTTGTTGCCTCCTTCCAGGACGAACAGCTGATCGAGCTGGAGGTGAATCCATCCTTAGGCATCGATGTTGGGATTAGGGTTGTGCAGATGGGGTCAGGCGCACTCGGTCAAGTTATACAAGGCAGATCTCATTTAATGAAACCAACAACATACAGCGAGCAATGACCTGACTGAAAGGTTTGCCATAATATGTTGATGGTAACAGTTCCTGTTGCCTTGTGCTGTGTGTTTTGCTTCGCATCCTTTGATTGAACAATCTACATGTCCCGCTGGCTGGCGAAGCTCACAGCACAGCTCTTCCAGTGTTCTGTCCGGTTGCCCTGCAAGAGATTGAACAGCAGCAGTTGGGCCCCGGACTCCACGGACCGGTTGCAAGTCAGCCTGGACCTGCTTGCAGATGCGAGGCCCGAAAGAAGCCTCAAAGCTGTACGGAGATGTTCAGGCAGGCACCCCGAGCAAAGCACGCAAGAGAGAGAGAGAGAGTGTGTCTGTGTCTCTGCGTGTGTTTGTGTGGAGCTTTGACCTGCAGTTTCAGAGTGCCTATCCCAATTCTGCATTGAGCCCAGCCTCGATTCATGGAGCCCAGTCTTGCCTGGCACCCATCCGCAAAGACCACACCAAACGGAACCAAGACCCTGAAGGATCAGCACTGCCGCCTGCATCGGATGGGCACCTCCGCCAAGTTCTGACATTACAAATTCGCGAGGGCTTAGGATGCAGGTTAGTCTCGTAAGGTTGTGGCGTGATCTGTCGTGTCCTGAGACCTAAGGCCCTCCGACAACTTTGCAGTGTAGCGGAACAGCCAAGGCAACGACTTTTATGTCATGGCCTTGGAGTCTCAGATCGGCACGTTGGTGGACGGACAGCTCCTCGGCAAAAGGCAGCCGACCCGAAGAGTACACGGAAGCTCGATCGAAGACCAAACGGGTGCAGCAGAACCCCTAAGTGCAGGTCCTTTAGGCCTTTCACTCAACCCTAAACTTACACAGAAACACTGCTTCGACGGAGACTGAGATCTCCCCCTTCGTTTCTGGCAGAGCCCAGGAAGATTCGACACCAAGATGGGCCGGTGCCGATCAGAGACGGGACCACCTTGGGCATCGGGCTGCTTGGTGGCAAGATCTTCTGGCTGACCTGTGTGCTGAAAGAGCTCGCTATAGGACAAAGTGGGGATCTCCGATCGACTCATTTTTCAATTCTTGATCTGCAAACCGAGGCTCCCCAGAACAGCTGCAAGCTGTGAGGGCTAAAGAGAAGTTGGTTCATGTTGAGGTGTTGTTGCATTGTTGCGTTGCTTTGGGAAGGCGATGCGCAGCTTGCGCAAGATTTGTAGAGGCAAAGGGTTTCGGAGTCAAAGTACAATCTCATTTAGACCGGAGGAAATACCTCGTCTACTGTGAAGTCGGCAACGAAGCCTTCTTGCAGGACCTTTGCTTTCACTACCTGATTCTGCCGCCATGCAGTCAGTGAAACGTCTCAGGAAATCCTACAGCACGGCGGCTCGAGCAAGATCGCTGCTAGCCATTTGAGCCCTTGAGACCGAGCCTCACATAGCGGCGATTTGGTTCGCGAGAGGGACAAGTGAAGCTGGGACGTCCGAACACGGACATTTTGAGCATATAATTGGAAACTCATTCCACCAGACTGCAACACCCATGGCATTCACCCCGCCCCCCTCCCTCACAACCGAGAATTTGCAGCTGAATCTAGCCCCGCATCTTGCCGTTTTCTCTGTCGCGAGGACAGGCGGAGAAAGCTCCTGGCGGGCGAGAGGCCGGTTTGGAGCCGATAACATCTATCGCTCATGATCAATGACGGGTAGCTACATAATTGTCGTCAACGTTTTGCTTTGCTCATTGTCTAGGGGTCTCGGACCATCAGTCTAAGCCTCAAGTTTCCAAGCCTGGAAATACTACGGCAGACTCTGCCTCGACATCATCGAAGCCACGATACTCTTGGGCCTAAACTCCCCAACAGCGCATGACCCACATCCGGCGGCTGTGAAGAAAGCCGACTTCTGATCGGGCACAGACACGGCGCAGAGGCACATCCCGCTGAAAGCCTCAAACCCAATACTTCCAGCTCCTGGCTAGTGTGAGCTGCATCACTGAGTAACTTGAGTAATTCGCCTGACAGTCGACCTTTGTGAAGGCCCCTGAAATAGGGAACACGACAACTTTGCAACTGAGGTGTTGAAATCCTGTGACAGGGTCTTCAACCTAATTGGCCTGCCTTAAACACGAGGTAGGCCTGCTTCGCCAAAGACACCACTTCACCCTGCAATGCGGCTCGTCCTTGCTAAGTAGGAGGCAAAAAAAATACTTCCAGCTGTCGAAACCCGACACGTTTTCCGAAACCCCAACAAAACGCTGCTCTGGAGTCGAGGGCCCAAGGTAGCAGGTAGAGGGATCAGGCCCGGGGAGGAGTTTTCCACAGGTTCTGGAAGGAAGGCAAAGCCAGCCTACAGAAGTCCGAGGAAGCTGCCGAGGCGAGACGTGCTGCGTGGCTTTGAGCAGGGTAGGAGTTGAACTCAGACTCTGCGGAAACCCGCCTTGCAGTCGAAATCTTGCTGAATTGAACCTGAATCACCGTGACCGCGTGCGGAAGAGAGAGACTCTGAGGGCCTTAGGGTTTGAGCGACACAACATGTAGGCCTTGTAGGCCGTGCCTGTTCGTGTGATTGATGCTGAGTCTTGGAAGCCGCTTGAAGAAGCATCGATCACTTCTTTTGCATAACCCCTTTTGGACTCCGGAATGAAGCTTGGCTTCTAAAGAAGAGAAGACCAGAGCAGAGCTGTCTGTCTGTCTGCTGCAAGTGCTGCTCGTAGGGGAGCATGTTGCAGGCTAAGCCCGCAGCTGAGGACGGGGGTGGGACAAAAGCTCTCCTTAAGGGAACCGTGAAAGAGAGCTAGGACCTTGAGAATGTGTATCGCATGGAGTCGAAATCGTTTGCATGTTTTCGATTTGAGCTTTGCAGTTCCCTGGTTCAGTGCAATTTGGTCTCATACATGTGCACTGCAGCCCCTCCCCCCAAAAAGGTGCAATTTGGTGAAACCAGACGTTTTGTCCGCAGGAGGGTGAGGCTGCACAAGCTGGCGAGGGTGCCGGCCCAAGTCTGCAGAGGTTGTCGTCTTTTGGAGTTGTTGGTTTAGTGGGGCGATCATGTTTTCGGCCTATGCTCGAGCAATAATGTCCATCGTGTCGGCAGGAGAACCCCATACTGCAAAATAGGGCCGTCAGCAAGCCCCAAGTGTCCCTTTGATTTGGGATCCCCGCTTGAATGTGGCACAGGTGCTGACGATGATGAGGAGGACGAAGAGGCTAGCTGAGCTCACACTGGCACTTTTGCATTTTCGGTGCACTTGTACGACTGGGGCCCTACTGTACGGCCTGCAGGGTTCGCACTTTAAGCAACGCGGACATCACAGGCCAGCCACCGGCTCGTCATGTCAATTAACTGCCTACGACAATATGTTCATTTTGAGTTTTGCACATTATCATTATTTACTGTTAGTATGATTACTACGATCATCGTTATTATTGTGCCTGTGTTCTGGAAGCTTGAGCCTGGCGATTTGTAAGTGCCCCCGCATATGTCCCACCCAGGCACTCGATGTCCTCTTTACCGCACCACCAGACGAGGCATCCCTCGGAATTCAAGCATTGCCGCCGCATTCCGTGGGTGAGATTATGTGTATAACATTCTAAGTATACAGTATATATGTATGGTATGAGTTCACAGTCCCCTGTCTTCTTACAAGGAGCTCTGGAAGCACAAGCCTTTGGACCCCTTGCTTGTAGCTAGGCCATGTCAATCGCTAAAGCTTTTCCCAGGCGATAGAATCTCATTGCTATCTGAAGTGTGTGTGTGTGTGTGTGGAAGGCCGAAACCGATGGAGTGACGAAGGCAGAGGCGGCGGCAACAGAGGACAGCCCAATGGGTGCAAGCGGCTGTGTTACATCTGGCACTGTAGGCAAAAAAATGGTGAATGGCTGTCAGCAGGGCACGGGGACGGAGTTTCGTGGCATCAGTCATCAGTTCGCATGGATCACATGCCACTGCGGGTGTAGCAGTGGCACCGGACCGGAGGCGGTGGGGGGGAGATGGCATCATCCAGCGTCCAGCGTCTGCATTGGGTTCGTGTTCACTGTTGGTTCGACATTGTTGTTGAGGCTTGCTTGCACAAGATGCTCTTTCTGCTGCTGTGGGTCATGTGGTCTTCAAGGCGATTACATTGCTGTTGATCCTGGTCGTATTGCTGCTAGTGTCCTCAAGCTAAGCAGCGCATATAGTATAGATGCAGAATCCTGCTTTCTGCAGTTGCGGGATGTTGTGGGCCGTGTTTTCCCACAGCGTCGATTGCTAAGCAGAATGTAGTCGCCGTCCTTGCGGTTGCCATTGCTTTCAGAAGCCACATCTACACGTGGATTCGTGTTTTGTGTTCATCTGCATGGCGCAGTTGCTGTGTCTGAAGCATTCTGAAGCGGCATCTGTGAAGGTCACCAGCAGTGTCTGCATGGCGATTCGTACTTTCTTCCAGCATGTTTGGATTAAGCTTCTGGGGTTCCTGGGGTGATGTTTCCAGGTTACTTCAACATCATTGGCCACGCATTTCATCGCATTTCCGAAGCAGTCGCGAACGGCTTGCTTCATGAATCTTACAGCAATCTTGCGGATGTGCTTTTGTGCCACGGGTTCACTGCAGTTTTTTCTCGCAGGTGTGCTTGTGACGCCAAGCATGTATCTAAGAAGTGGCCGGTTTTAGTTTGATGTGTTGTGATGCCTGTGTGTTTCGCATGCTTGCCTGTATGTCCGACCGCTCACATGGAGCATTGAGAATTGCTGGTTTGGATGTGCTGTGATTCCACTTGTGTGCGTCTCGTGCACGTGCTTGTAAAATGGCTGGAGTACCATGCATTTTCTGTTGCTTCTAGCGGACGTACTCCATGGGGAAAAGCATGTTGAGGGACCCCATTGCACGTCCATGCATGTAGACAGCAGACGCAGCTGCTGTGGTTCAACATGTCGCGATCTGATTAAACTTCCGCTGCACTTTGCGTAGTGGGAACATCGAAAACTCCGTCAGGGATGCAGTTTCGGAGATCCCGATTTTGGCACTTCACAGTTTGTTCTTTTCATTCCATTGTGTTGGGTCGAGCCCGGGATTCACGTGATCTCGTTGGAGAGTTGGACTTCGGCCTGAATTTGCACCATGCATCGGAGCTTTCTGTCGTCCGGTTATGTTTACGTAGCATGTACCACGCTTACCCACACAAACAGAAGGAGTGCGGCATGCGAAAACTGTAAGTGCTGATGCCATCTTGCGTGTGCGCTGAAGAAGGTGCGGCGCCCATGTATGGACCAAAAACTGGGATCCGATACTATAAAGAACCATTCAGGACCCATAATACCGGACCCCACATTTGCTGAAACCCCCCTATATGTCTCCTCAGGACGCGGACATGAAACCCTCGGAGGAGGAGTCGGCGGTCGACCGTGAGTCGAAGAAGAGAAAGCGGGAAGAGGTCTGAAGCCCAGGTTGTCCGACCCCCCAAAACCAGAAATTCCTAAGCCAGTCACGCGATCAAGCCATTATCCACTCAAACGCAGGGAAGACAGGCTAATGAGGAACTTGATTAAGAAACCCTGGCCCTAGAACCTCAATTTATTTGGTGTCATATTAAGAACCGTAATAAAGACCCAGGGTTTCTTAATCAGGTTCCTATATTGTCAAACTTTGGAGGTCGGAGCCTGAACTTTTGCTGATGCCCTTGAGTACTGATTCTCCCTGCAGTTGCTATAAGTGGTTTGGGGACATCCTGTGGCCCATTTGTAAATGTACTATAGGGGCATTAAAGATTACCTAAAATATTTGGCGGTTCCTTACTGTAGCTATGGTATAATAGTATCATTTCCCCCAAAACCCTATTCTAATTGTTGAGGCCCCTACATTAAGCACTTGTTGAACTGCAGGAGCGAGCAACGACAGTGCACTTTTGATCTACGGTACCCGCGAAGTGCAGCCGAACAAGGGCAATGATGGATTGCACGGGGGGTCAGAGCATCAGGGAGTGTATTGGGCTTATAAGTAATTCCTTTCCAGGTTTGATGAAAAACTTCTGGCGTGCAAGCCTACCGAAGGCTCTTGAGATTTTAGGCGTGTCGGCGGATGGACGAGGGTGCGCAAAGAACTTGAGTTGAACCCCGAGCCTTTAAGCCCTGATCGCTGGATGCTGGGACACTAGCCAGGAAGATGCTCCTATGCCTGAAGCCGTCACAGACGAGGCACAGGAACATGCTACCTGTACGGGTTGAAGGAGCAGGCATAGCTACATAGCTCTGCTTCACGAAATGTTGTTTGCTTACTACCGAGGTCCGGGGTTTGGAACTTGGATTGTGAAGAGATCCGGCATCGTGCAGGAGAGCATGCAGAAGCAAGCGCTACCATGCAAGGTCACACAGATTGAGAGTCCTGGTAAGACTAGCAAAAACGTTATACCAGAAATCATAGTAGTACTAGTAGCAGTAGTGGTGG